GTTTTAACTATATACTGAATTTAGTCTTAACTATTATAGAAAATTATTATCCTTGAGCCTGTGCTGTTCATAAATTAGAGGTTATATAAAAAAGAAATTAAGCAGACAGATACTTATATATGTCATACCCCAGATTGAAATTATCTCAATCCAGAATCGGGCTGCCTCAGATGAGAATCTTGTAAATTGTTTTAACAGAATTATAACTTTAGAGTTAGTGTTAGAGTTAGAATTGGGGTTTATAATAAAAAGTTTTTAATTTTGCCTAGTATAATTCAGGACAAAATTACAAAATTCTTATTCAGAACTATCCTGATTCTGAATTGAAACAGATTCCAATTCGGGATACAACATATACATATTTGTAAATAGCTAAAATCCTCTTTTGATTTATACACAGTACAAAACACAAAGAACTATATTAGTGCTCTTACTAAAGTCAAGTAATTAACCTATAACACTTATTATTTGTTGGTAACTAGCTCTAAACCAGAAATTTGTCAAAACAACTACAAAAGTGAAGACACACATGATGATATTCATGCTTATTAATAGATTATAAAACTGGCAAAAATTTAAAGCAAAATTATAAGCAGAATTTTTTAGGAATATATCTTTAACAACAAATAGCATGATCCAGTAATTTGATTTGGTTAATTATATTCCAAAATGATTAACTCATTAAGGTAATTCAAACAAGTTCAAAATCATCAAATCTAATTATTGGATCTCAAGATCAATAAGGTGTACAGTCTATGTAGTATATTTAAAATTTTGGCAATTTGTCTATTCATAGATAACATTATCAGTAAATATTTTTATATATAATTATTTAAAATAGTTCGGATAATATTACTAGTGGATAATAACTAAGAATCAAACAAAGATTAGATAATCACAATAGCTAATAGCCATTTTATTATTATTCATCATCTCTTAAATTTTAGTTATATATATCAATTCTTTATTGCTATTACTAATTATGCATATACAGGGTTTAGTTTGTTGAATTTTTTATTGTTATGTTATTAAATCTCCTTTATTATTACATGAATTTATATGCTTTATCTCAAATAGGCTTTACAGTAAAATAAAATGCATGTATATTCTCAGTACAGTAATTAACTATGAGATATTTATTACTAATATGTTTAACACAGATTTTCATTGACTAATCAGATCTCATCAAAAAAAATGAATACGCGCAATTTTTAAGTAATAAACCAATAGTGTTTGGGATATGGTTATGAGCGCAACGAACTTATTTTGTATTAAAACTTGCAAAAAAATTATTTTTTTGGTAATGTACAACTGGCCTTTTTCCCTTAATAGCAATTTTTCACAATTTTTTTTAATTGATTTTTGAATAAATGTATATTTAATAAAAAGGGTTGCTATAAGTATAAGAGGCTAATTCACAAAATGATATTGAAGTAAAAAATTTTATATATACAATGTTCTCACATTTTTTTAAATGTTCTTGAGAACACTGAGAACATCAGATCTTTAACACTGCTCCCATTGACTCCAACGCACTACTTTACCATGACCACACTCTTAACTCGATAATGTAAAATTACAAGGTGACTTTGCTCTACGAGATCTAGGGTTACTTTTATTGGGGGATTTGCTTTAATGCATTTTCACGGGCTTACTGCAGGAGATCATCGTTCGAATCATCTTGGGTCCCAGGGCACTGTTTCACGATGATTTCATGCGTACCATTTGTAGCGCTTTTGCCTCTAACTATATGTTTCTATTTGAAGATCATTTATTTAAATTTGATTTACTCAAATTGTTTATATGTCCAAATGGGCCCTTTTAATACGAGGCACCTATATAATCGATCAATTATTGATTTAATGATTGACCGATTATATGATTGATGCACAGGAAAAACCTGTAAGTAAATATTTAACCCTAGGAAAATTGTAAAATGCATACCGAAAATGTGTACGTACATGGTTGGAGGCACAGCTCTCCTGAACTACGAATCAGATTTCAAGATTAAGTGTAACGTAACACGATCAGGAAGATTCAAAATAAATACGTATTCGTTCTGTCAAAAATCTCTCATAGACCAAAAGACCACCTTTTGTGCTCTAACAAAAATTATTCATTGACAATTTTACTCTATAAAATTCTCCTCTAAAGGTCCTAACTCTGATCTAATCCTAACCTTAACGATTTTGTCTGCGTTACTAACCTTGTACACATTTTCGGTATGCTTGTAGCATTACGTATTAAATCACATATACAGTATTAAGGGGTTTCAAAATTAACAAAAAAGTGATGCATTTCGAAAATATGTAGGATTTTCTTTCATTTCTCTGATTTTAATTTTGAAACCCTCTAATGTGTTTGATCGTTTCTATATCATGTCTCTTATAGCTATGCTTTTATTTACTTAAGTTATGACACTGAGGGGTTTCAGAATTTAAAAAAAAAGCGTATTTCGAAAATAAGTAGGAGACTAAAAAATCTTATTTGTATACCAAAATTTTGAAATCGGAAAATGAAATGGGAGTGTTTAGAGACTCCCATTTAATGAAATAAATAAACTTTTCAACAACAAAAAAATCATTATAACAAATTTATTGGAAAATGAAATAAAATCGATACATCGCTCATTTGAAAATAAATACACTATCTATTTCTGTCAAAATTAAGTTTCCGAACATTGAAACCCCTCAATGAAAGGTTTACTTAACCAAGAGACATGACAACTTCTTCAATTGAAATTACAAGAAATTCAACAGAAAATCCGGTTACTGTTACTATAAGTTGCAGAAATGTTGCCACATACTTGATTATCTGTAGATCTTCGTTTATGTTCTTTTAACTGTTTATAAATAAGAAATAAATTGTAAATATGTAATGTAGATACTTGACGATGATGCAACAAATTTCTATAATAATTAAAATATAAATAAAGTATATATATTACAAATAATACAACTGAAGCTCCATAACTTAGTCTCAAGACACTAGAATCAATTGTGTTGATACTAATTGAAACTAAGACTAAATGCTGCAGATACAATTAGAGCAATGCATGCTAAAGTCAATAAATTCTTATCCTAACATTCGTTTTTATGAATAGTGATTCCATCAGCGAGTAAACATGATCCCAATACTACTAGAATATTTGAAAATATAGATCTTAATAATGGTGCCTGAACAACACAAATTTGTTCTTTAATCAAAGCTATTATTGATATTATTAATTCTATGGCATTTCCAAAGATCAGATTTTAATCTGCTCAGCTCTTAATTAAATTAAAAATCGAAATAATAAAAATTTAATAATAAATAAATTGCCTGCGTAAAGCCAGGAATGGAAAAATGTGTTGTGTGTATAATTTAAATTTAAAAAGCAAATTTGAATTGTGTCAAATCAAGAGGAACAAATATAATGTCGTTGGAAAGATTCTTTACAACTCCTTATATTTGGCTATAATGATGTGGTGTGAGGAGGATGGGGTGGGTGTTTCCTCTTATCTTTCTACAAAGTCATTCTCTCACATTTTATAAAACCTTGATTTCGCTACTATTTTCACTTGTTCTTGCCTATTCATCATGGTAGGTAAGTATCGGTCTACTATATATTGCTTTAGTTGATAGTCAATTGCAAGTTGATATAAACAGACAATTTAATAAATAGAATGTTCGAAATAATAGTGAATTCGATTTATAATTCTGTATAGCATAAAATTCTAATATGTAAGGAATTTATTTAATAATATAGATAATATGTACAGGTTTATATATAATTGATGTAATGCTTTTTATTGTATGTATGTGTTGTACACCGAATTGGAATCTGTCACAATTCAGAATCGGGACAGTCCCGGATAAGAATTTTGTAATTTTGACCTGAATTATACTAGCCAAAATTAAAAAATTTTTATTATAAACCCAATTCTGACCCTAACACTAACCCTAAAGTCATAATTCTGTCAAAACAATTCACAAGATTCCCATCCGGGGCAGCCCGATTCTGGATCGGGACGATTCAATCTGGGGTACGACGTCATATATATTTGTTCCGAAAAAAGGAAAATTTCCGGAATAATAATCTGGTGAGAGCTAATGTATGATTTTCAACAAATATCTTTTGTAGGGCTATCGGGTAATATCGTTATTGAATGCTACACGCCAATGACTTATCCGCTTTAAATTTAATGTACCATACATACGTAGAAACTGTTTCGGCATTGATTTTTGAATGAAATGTATGTTATCTTGGAAACAATTCAGAAATTTCATATCAAAATTCAATGCCGAACTCATGCGGAACTCAGAAGCTTGACACATAAATTTAAAACCAGTTAATGGAACATCTCTGTTATTAGCTGCATCAAGTCCAGTAACTATATATTATTGATCACTATACGCCTAATCACTATATATTACATAATATAGTGAAACTTTAAGACCCTTTGTTTTATACTCATAGCTAGTAAAGGATCTATGTTCTGGTAATTATTTTTGAACATGAATTAAATAATAGTATTTTTATTTTGGACTATAATCATAATTTGCCAAAAAAAAACTTTTAATTCACGTTCAAAATAATTATCCAAAATTTATTGCTAAAAAAGTAGTGCGAAAGGGATTTTGACCCGCACCCGTGCGGAAAGGATATAATTTACTATCTTTACTAAAAAACAAAAGCTCTATATTTGATAAATCATTGATCACTAAAATTTTCTTAATCGAATTGCAAAATTACGGAGTATATTACTAATTATGATCTTCGGATTTCGGGCAGGATTAAAATATTCGTGATAACATAATTTTAACAAATTCAAAAAGTGCCAAAAATATTACACTATGTATATATTAATGAAGATCAAGAATACTTGCCCTTTACCTTTACCCGTTGGCTTGCTTTGACTTCAGCGATTGAGACTATTAAACCAGAAAAAACCTATTTCCATTGTATTTACGAACCAAAAAGCTACTGGTATCAACTCATTAAACCTAAATTAACTGTTATGCCAACTCGAATAGTCACCGAAATTTTCGGAAACCCTGTAAAAGTTATTCAGCATAAGTCAGATATTATACGGACGGAAGTGTTACGGGACTTTGGTGGCATTTATCTCGATCTTGATGTAATAGTCTTTCAACCATTCGATGATCTTCTCTATGATGATTTTACTATGGCCCTTGAGGAACATATTGAACCAACTCTCGGTAATGCAATAATTATCGGCAGGCCATTTGCTCCTTTTCTTACCAGATGGATACAAGGATATAAAGATTTTAACGACGATGAATGGTCCCGTCATTCAACTCGGTTGCCTTACCTTATATCAGAAGAACATGGCGATGATATTCATGTTTTAAACACAACAGCATTTTTTTGGCCGACTTGGATTAGAGAGCATCTGAAGTGGGTGTACGAATCAAATGACTATAATTTCTCCAACCAATATACCTATCATATGTGGGCAACAGTAAGCTACGATATATATTTACGAGATTTAACTCCAAAATCGATAAAAAGTGTGGAAACAAGTTTTAATAGAGCTATCAGAAAATTTTTAGACTATTTGCCTAAAGACTTTAATGAAGAGATTGTTGAACAAGAATTGAACAGAGGAAAAAATAAGAAAGAAGGTGGTGAAGGAAGCAGATATTAATTTCATAATGAGAAATTTGAAGCTTGAAAAACGTACCTAGTAAATATGGCATAAAACTAGTCTCAGGCTTTGGCATTGCTCCGAGAGTAGGATTTTTGTTTAGTATCTGTTTATGAAATAATTTATTTGTTGTTTACGATGACGGTAACCGGGTTTCATTTAGAATTATATTTAGGGTTAGAAAATTATGTAAGGAATAGATTTTTGTCAGACATGAAAGTTAGTTTTATAGTTATAATTTTGAGTTATTTGATTAGGATTTTTTGAAGTTTTTAATCATGCAATCTGAATGGTTTGATGCAGCAACTACTAGATTTTGTCTTTAAAATTAGTTATTAAAATTGTCTTTTAATTTAAATTTTACATTACGCAAAGCTACAGTCCCCTACCAGTGTATTGTGGACACTTTTAAAAATTTGTATTTAGTTAAATCATTAAAATTATATAATAAATTTGTTAAATCTTGAATTTTTAAATAAAAAAAATATCACAAATTTTTATGCAGTATTTTTTAAAATAATTAGGTTTATTTAAACAAGTTATGCGCTTGCCCATGCGCTGAGAGTTTGTGTAACAATTAAATTTATAGGATGATTGTGATTGTGATAATTATCATCGCAATTGAATAAAATTTTTTTAAATTTTTATACATGTTAAAATATTTTTATTCACGTGATTTTGAAAACTTATTAATTAAATAGATTAAAAAAAAGGAATAGAAAGAATTCTGAATATCTATATAGTATTAAAATTAATCTCAAAGAATTGCAGTATTTAAAAAGTTATATATAAGAAAAAGGTTACAAGAGATCTAAAGTAGTTGATATTTTTTTCTTTCTAATTCAGCTATCCCGCCCTTGTTTATTTTAGGACCAAGTCATTCAAAAATTACAATAATTTTATCATTAGACTATAATAGGTATAACCAAAACAAAGGCTTGTCTATATGCTTTTAAGCATCAAATGCAATCTGCCTTAGTAGCTCTTGGCCTTCCTCCGGGTCCTTAACTTACTAAGGACTTTTTCCTGTTGTTTATCAGCTGGTGCTACACTGCTACATCTGCTACATCAAGAAGCAAAATAAGAAAGTAAAACAAAACTAACTAAAAAAAAACAGAGGTATAGAGGATTATAGTAAAAATATACAAATAAGAAATAAAGAGGAAAAGAGAGATATTGAGAAAAAACAAAAAGAATAATTTTGCCTATCTTAATGTCACTATTATAAGCCCATGGATGGTTTAAAAAATTACATACTACTAGACAAAATAGATTTTACTTCTATATTTATCTACTTAATATATTAAAGCAAAAAACTATTTAGAAAAAACCTTCATCAATTAGTATAAATATAGAGAAGTTAAAGCAAAGTCCTAAAACATCATTTGTATAGAGATTTATTGTTATGTTTTTTTTTTTATTAAGGTGAAGTTTTGCCTTTATCTTTATTAATAATTTGTATTAAGAATCCACTAGGGGTTTTTCTAGCCTATAAGATCAATAGTTACAAATTTTTACAAGAATGAAATTCAAACTACCAGAAACTAAAATCCTGATTCATTTGCAATCTAAACCTACAAGAGTAGTTAAAACTCACCTAGATTTGTTCATACTTGTACAAATCTAGTTAAGTTTTAACCTAAATTGTACAAGTACTTTATAAAGGATCTATAAAATATAAATAAGAGGTAGTTTGTTTAAATATAATAATGTGGTTGTTAATTATTTGTCTAATTCTATTTATTTTTTTTATTTTTCTATTGTAAATTTTAAGTATTAAACTTTACTAATTAAATATAAAAATATTTTAAATTTATTACTTTACTCATATTTTAACAATATATGTTTAAATAATTGCAAATTATTAATAAAATTTTTTTTATATAAAGACAAAAAATTAAGCTTTTGTTATATTATTCTATTTATCAATACTAAATTTTTTATATCTTATTCTTTATTTAAATATTAACTACTTTAATATAACTCTTTCTGATAATTTTCTGATCAACAACAAAAACTAAATTATAGCAAAATATATAGAAAAGCAACAAAGTAAATACCAAACTTGGTTCTATAAGTAGAAGCAGCTTGTTGTTAACAAAGTCTAAGTGTCTAGACATATAATATAGAGCCTTTGCAATAGAAAAAATGAAAACTATCTCAAAAATAAAAATTGAGTTTTTATTAAATTTAGATAAATTTTGATGTAGTTAACATTTTTCAATTATAAATAAAACTTATTTGCATAATGAAAAATTGAGATAATGTAAAAGAAAGTTGCACAAGATTGTATAAGGCAGAGTACATCATGAGATTGCCCGATAATCACCTGTTACCTTTAACTAATCAAAATCATAAAATTTTGGTTGATCTGGATTAGTTCAAAAATCAATTAAACTCAATTATCTCAAAATGAGATATATTCGAGTTTCTGCTCTTTCTACTACAAAGGCTTCATATATTGAGAAGCAAACAGCAAAAGAACAGATGAGATTCTTTGGAGTCAAGTTTTTTTTTCTTGGACTAGCTCTCTAAGATATTTGATATCTAAATCAAAAGGTTTATTCTAAAAAACAAGTTTGTAAAAGTAGTCAATGTATACTTCTAAGCTGATAAAAATAGAAAAGCTAGACTATACAACTGTAATACTTACAAAAAGAATTTTACATATTTTCATTAGCATGCCACTTTTTTTTGAAAAATTTTTGTAAAAATAGACATCGCAGTTTATTTTTCTAAATAATTGACATCATATATATCAAACAAGTCAATATTATTTATTTCCCAAATCAGAATATAACAATAAATCCTGTCAATTACTTACACCAAACCAAACCTAAAAAACAACAAGACAAAATGACTACAACTTCTTAAATTATTAAGAAAACTTACTTTGATACTCTAAATAACTTGTCTAGCTACTCACTTTATATATATTATATTACTAAAGTTTTATAACTTTAGCTTGTAAACTCATTAAAAAAAAACTCTTAAAATAAAAAATCTACAAACTGTAAGTTTTCTTAAATTATACTAAGAAAACTATTT